TTTATCATTAGATCAGTTTGGTTTATATTATATTTATGAATAATTACACTTTCAGGCAGAACATTAAGGAATATATGAAAGAAGTACTCGATCCAAACTATTGAAATATTGATGACGGATCAAAAGATAAAAGACTTTAAAATCTCCATATCTCTAACCAATGCAACACTCGCAGAAATAATTTCTATTTTTAGCAACCATGGCAACACTTTTTGTCGACAAAAGATGGAATAATGTATCGTAGCATAATGATTTTGCATACCAAAATCTTAATGAAATTGGATAAACTGAAGAAGTGCCATACAACACGCATTTTTTCATAAAGCATGATATTATACAAGAATCTGGGTTTCAATATATGTTTTAGTTTTATCATTCAGATTGTTTAAATACCTGTATTATAAAGCAATATATATTGTAAATGATTAAGGAGTATCTAATCTAAAAATTATTTATTTTTAAATAATAATAGTAATTGCAGTGTGATTACCTGCATGGGTGTAATTTGTTGAACACCCCCCTCTATTCCCCAAAATATTTTTAACTTTTCCGCAAATTTATACTTGATGCTCTTTACCCAAAGCACTAGCTGTCACTGGGTCTTTGAATTCGATCTTTTTGTTGATAATTAGTCCGATTTAGCATTTATTAAATAGAATATATTCATTTTATTCTTTTCTCTTTATTCTCTTTAGAGCACAATTGCATGTATGCTCTATATTATATACAGGCTAATAGTAAGCCATGCTCAGTCTACTTAATGTGGTCTGTGCAATGAATTTTCAGATATTTTTTGTATTAAGTGTCTTTGTAACTGGATATTTATTGCAAAGTAAGTCATTTTGCACAAAATATTTAATTGCATTTTTATAAGATCGACAGTGCATATCTATAAAAAAAAAAAGTTCAAAGTAAACTTAAAAGTCAAAAATTATATATCTATATTTATGAAGTTAAGCAAATATCCAATTCTTCCTTTTAATTTGGACAGACTATTGTCCGAGTGATTCTACTTTCTTCTTCAATGACCGATGTTTTTGGATACTGAAAGAACGAAGGACATTTCAAACGTCACACAGAAAATGCCAAGAAAATGGTGGAATTCTCGCAGAAATTCCAGATAATGAGACCGATGAAATGCTCACAAGGTTCGGTAATGCAGTATAAAATTCCACCAAGGGAATGCTTTATGTCTCTCTTTCTATATTTGTATTGTTTAATATGCTTTTGAGATCGATCACTGTTTCTAAACTCCGCCGTTTACAGTAAAACACGCTTATAATAATGACTTTTGCCTTGTAATACATGTAATATGCGCAATTTTTAAAATATCTGTTAAGGTAAAGATTACAATATATTTGTCAAAGTCAAAGGAAATGAAAATCACAGAAAATGTCAATTCGATATAAGCGCGTTATATTGTAAATATATATAGGAAAGTCTTTCTTTCTGTTTACTATTTTTAGTCGCCAAATTTGCACTCTTTACTAACTTTGATTTCTAAAAACAATATAACTTTCCACAAAATGGTATATAAAGTGTGGATTTTTAATTCAGAGGTATTGTGTCATCATAAAGAAGAACGGTTTTTAAAAGGTATCTTCTTTATATTCTATTCAGTACAAATGCAACCTATTTCATTTTACTGCATATTGTTTAAGTTTTTAGCTCACCTGAGCCGAAGGCTCAAGTGAGCTTTTCTGATCAAAATATGTCCGTTCTCTGTTGTCGTCGTCGTTGTCGTCGTAAACTTTTCACATTTTCATCTTCTTCTCAAGAACCACTAGGCCAATTTCAACCAAACTTGGCACAAAGTATCCTTGGGTGAAGGGGATTCAAGTTTGTTCAAAAGAAGGGCCACGCCCTTTTCCAAGGGGAGATAATCATGAATTTGTTAAAAATTAATGGCATTTTTAAAAAATCTTCTTCTCCAGAACCGCTGGGCCAGGAAAGATGAAACTCATGTGGAAGCATCCTCAGGTAGTGTAGGTTCAAATCATGACCCCCGGGGCAAGGGTGGGGTCAAAATGACCGACCCTAGTTTTACATAGGAATATATAGGAAAAATCTTTAAAAATCTTCTCCAGAACCACTGGGCTAGGAAAGATGAAACTCATGTGGAATCATCCTCAGGTAGTGTAGATTCAAGTTTGTTCAAATCATGACCCCCGGGGCAAGGGTGGGGCCAAAATGGCAGACCCAAGTTTTTCATAGGAATATATAAGAAAACTCTTTAAAAATCTTCTTCTCCAGAACCACTGAGCCAGGATAGATGAAACTCATGTGGAATCATCCTCAGGTAGTGTAGATTCAAGTTTGTTCAAATCATGACCCCCGGGGCAAGGGTGGGGCCAAAATGGCCGACCCAAGTTTTACATAGGAATATATGGGAAAAATCTTAAAAAAATCTTCTTCTCCAGAACCACTGGGCCAGGAAAGATGAAACTCATGTGGAATCATCCTTAGGTAGTGTAGATTCAAATTTGTTCAAATCATGACCCCAGGGGCAAGGATGGGGCCAAAATGGCCGACTCTAGTTTTACATAGGAATATATAAGAAAAATCTTTAAAAATCTTCTTCTCAAGAACCACTAGGACAGGAAAGATGAAACTCATGTGGAATCATCCTCATGTAGTGTAGATTCAAGTTTGTTCAAATCATGACCCCTGGGGCAAGGGTGGGGCCAAAATGGCCGACCCAAGTTTTACATAGGAATATATAGGAAAAATCTTAAAAAATCTTCTTCTCCAGAACCACTGGGCCAGGAAAGATGAAACTCATGTGGAATCATCCTTAGGTAGTGTAGATTCAAGTTTGTTCAAATCATGACCCCCGGGGCAAGGATGGGGCCAAAATGGCAGACCCAAGTTTTACATAGGAATATATATGAAATATCTTTAAAAATCCTTCTCAATTACCACTGGGCCAGGAAAGATGAAACTCATGTGGAATCATCCTCAGGTAGTGTAGATTCAAGTTTTTTCAAATCATGACCCCCGGCCCTGGGGATAGGGTGGGGCCAAAATGGCCGTCCCAAGTTTTACATAGGGATATATAGGGAAACCTTTTAAAATCTTCTTTTCAAGTACTTCAAAGCTATGATTAGTGATACCCGGGTTACATGTATTTATATGGAATCATCCTCAGGTAGTGTAGATTCTAGTTTGTTCAAATGATGAACGCCCGGAAGGGGGGGGGGTTAATTCAAGCCCAATGTGCTCAGGTGAGCGCTGTGGCCCCTGGGCCTCTTGTTTATATCCTCACGATTTTCTATTCAATTGAATATTATACATATATTACATGGCTTCGAGGGCAGCATACCAGAATATTTACCCCAAGGTGACAGGAAAGCCCTGTCCAGAGTGTTATGTCGCCCGATGCCGAAGGCAGAGGGTGACATAACACTCCAGGGCTTTCCTGTCACCGAGGGGCAAATATTCTGGTATTGCTGCCCGAGAATTAAGCCATGTAATATATGGTATATTACATTTTTAAACATTGAACCCTAATCGATCATCGAACATATTAATTGAACACTATGTACACATGTACGTTGAGTATAATTTCGAAATATCTCATCCTGTTTCATTGGAGAATGTTTTCAGTATACTGACACTTGTGTTGATAATCTTTGTTATTATATGATTGAATAATTTCCTTATCTCTGATTGGCTAAGATCCAACAAAAATACTACGTTATATTGACCTGCACGTGACCTTCAAGGTCAATACATGGAATTATTGCAGGTCAATATAAGGAATTATCGACCTGTTCTATTTTTTCTGTTACAATGTGTTGTTGTAGAAATTTCTTGTTAAAACTTTCAATTAAAGCAAAGATAAAGTCTTGTAGGAGTTTTCTATCATTTAATCATATAATAAAACAGTTATTGCTGTTTTTGCGGTCAATACCATGATTTAGCCACCTTCGAAGTACAATATTCACTTCGTATATGTATGTTCTTAAATATTTTTACGTCCCCGTGATATCATATTTCAAAAATATATGCCTGATTTTAAGGTTTTTATGTCATGGCGGTATTCTATACAATATAGGTTTGTTCTTTAAAGTTTGCATATCCTCGCGATATTCTATTCAATGTATGCATGTTCTTTAAGGTTTTCATATCAACACGATTTTCTTTTTAACTTATGCATGTTTCTAAAGGTTTTTCAAGTCGTACTATTACTGGATTGGGGTCAATGATATTATACATGAGGGGAGGTATGTCGACATGTTGAACAGGACTCAACACTATACGAATTGGGAAGCTGGTCAACCAGATAATAAAGACAGAAATGATGACATTGATGCAGACTGTGTATGGAAACATCGAGATGGATCATGGACAGACGATAGCTGTTTTTCAAAATTCTATGCTTTATGTTCCAAAAATATTACTGGTAAATGTGATTACAATTCCTCCATCGTTTTTTTTTTTTTTTTTTGGTTTGTCTGATTTTTTAAATTTATTTATCATGTTTATCTATTAATCTTATAACGTTATCTGCACAAAACGAAGTTTATTCTTTTAATTTTTCAAATGAATCAGATCGCTGTATCGAATCAACTGATACTAATGACCCTGAGGTGTGCATTTGGACAACATCAAAAAGTTTTATCTTCAATAAAGCTCGTGAAGTTTGCTCATTATATAATGCAACCTTTGCTGATTTGAGCGCATTAGTTTTACTGTCCAACTTGTAAGTATACTATAGTCTGCAAAAATGAAGTAAAACACAGTAAAAACCACACTATTAAAAGCTCACAATTAACCTCTGTATATAAGCACTGAATTCAAATACTTAAATTACTTGTTTACAAGTTTTAATTTTTCACAAAAATCAACATGAAGTAAAATTAAAGCGTAGGCACAATTGAGTAAATGACGAGGCATGAAAAAGTTATAATCCTTAACACTAAATCAGGACAGTACAGAATGGTTCAAAAGTTTGGATTGGGGTCCATGATTTTCATCTGGAGGGTTATCTTATGAACATGACGGATGGTCCAGTGTGCCTGGGGACGGGGTGGCGGGGAGTACTGCTAGAGAATGAGGAGAAAACTGACTGTATGTCTTATGATACACGACATGGTAAACTGAGGATGAAACCCTGCGACATTTCACTGCCCGTTGCCTGTTCCTCTAGCCCAGGGGGTATGTACTGGAGTATCTTATGCAGATATAAAAAATGTTTTGCGCTAAATAAGCAAAATAACTATATCCTCTACCTCGTTCTTGAATGTACACATTATGTAGGAAAATATTACATATGTTGGACAAATAGGTGCTTAAAAGTAACCATTTCAAAGCATAGTTTTTAAAGGTCTAAAGGTCTTAAAAAAATTGACATGTAAGATGCAAAAAGAGACATCAAAATTCTTTGAATAACATATTTTTCTTTAAAATAAGATCACACGTCTATACATGTATTTAAAATTTAATGTGGTGATAAGAGTTTATATAAAGTTAATTTTGAAATATTGAAAACATTTCATTGAAATGTACATAACAAAATAAAAATTGATTACATTGTTACATGTAGGAAAACAAAAAAGTGTATGTGCAAGGTTAACAACAAATACTAGTATATACAAATGTATTCACAATGAAAAAAAATGCGCAATAAGAAATTAATCATCGTGCATAAAAGAGAAGATTTATCAGTTTTTTAATTTTGTTGTTGCATTTTCAAAATTGTTTCCATAGCATGGTGCACTAACGGATATACGAGTTCTAATCCAAATTTGTCTCGAACAATAGAGGAATCAGCGACGGTATCGCCATATTTATCAACCACAGAGGAATCAACAACGGTATCGCTATATTTATCAACCACAGAGGAATCAACGACGAAATCGCCATATTTATCAACCACAGAGGAATCAACAACGGTATCGCCATATTTATCAACCACAGAGGAATCAACAACGGTATCGCCATATTTATCAACCACAGAGGAATCAACGACAGTATCGCCATATTTATCAACCACAGAGGAATCAACAACGGTATCGCCATATTTATCAGCCACAGAGGAATCAACGACAATATCGTCATATTTATCAACCACAGAGGAATCAACAACGGTATCGCCATATTTATCAGCCACAGAGGAATCAACGACAGTATCGCCATATTTATCAACCACAGTGGAATCAACGACAGTATCGCCATATTTATCAGCCACAGAGGAATCAACGACAGTATCGCCATATTTATCAACCACAGAGGAATCAACGACAGTATCGCCATATTTATCAACCACAGAGGAATCAACGATAGAAGTGACAACAGAATCAGTAACAACAACAACAAAGAGTTTAAGTCGTTTGTATATTCTCAAAATTTATTTTGGTCTTTATTCATGGATATGTTGCTTCATGTGCATTAAATTAAAAAGAATATGTTTAATCTAAAAAAAATAAGCAAATTACTCTTATTGCGCATGTATGTCTTATTAAATAAAAAAAAAACATCAATGCTAATGACAGTAGATATTTTTTGTCAGGTTGTCTAAATTATGGTGACTTAATCTTTGATCCCAACACCACGGAGATGGTTTTTGATACATCTCAACTTCAACCAAACGCAGGTACCCAACATTCATTTCCGAATGGTACAAACGTAATATTTGCGTGTCTACACAATCACCGGCACAGAGGCGGGAATCTTAACCGAGAATGTCTTCCCAACGGAACATGGAGCGGAGAAAAGCCAAACTGTACACGTAAGCACGGAGTCTGTTGTGTATATACTTTCTCTAATTTTAATGTTATAAATTCACAAGATTCCTACAATATCGTGCATTGAGAATATGCAAAGGCAAAGTAAGAATACAAAATTGCCTGTCAATTACAAATACAGTAAATTCAGATATTTTCACGGAGGCAAATTTTTGAGGTTTGAGAAAAAAAATATTGATATGTCAGATGGGATTTGATTTCGTGGTTGGAAAAGTGTTGAGTAGTAATGCTTATTTAAGGAGTCAGTGTCTAGTTTGTACAGTATGCCAGGGCATCAACATTGTTGATGTCCTTGGCATAATATACTAACTAGACAGTGATTCCTTATATTTCCATTTCCTTGTAAAATAAAATGGTAGATTTAGACTTTAAAAATGCCGACAAAATTTAAATTACACGAGGATTCCCATCCCAATTTTAATAGTCCTCGCCCCCTTACGTCAAACACAATGGCACCCGCACGAGATTTTCATGCATTTTTGGCCTCTTTAGCATCAGACTCAGAGACAGATGCGCACGAGATTTGGATGCATATTAGGCCTCCTTAGCTCCTGACCTATTGACCTGCCTAATTTGCATTCCGGTAGAATTATCAAGAAATTAACTTTCAAAGAGTTATCACAGAGAGCAAAATTAGAAATGGAAATATTAAATTTTACATTTCGTGGTTGTCATGAGTTCATGGGTCTCTCGAAAACAACTAAAAGTACACCCCCACAAACGAAAAACTGTGATTACACAGTAATTGTTCAGTAAGTATGAAAATGAAAAAAATCCATTTGGACTGTTTTATAGTAAATATTCTAAATAATACATGTATGTATGGTAAAAAAAGTGAACAATAATTAATATATTTTTATCCAAATTTAGGTTGCATGTGCCCCTGTGAACGCACGAAGAAGCAGGTCATCATTAAAAACGATGAGGAGTTAAAAACGATGAAAAAAGATCACAATAAATAAAATGAAGAAGCAGGTCATCATTAAAAACGATGAGGAGTTAAAAACTAAAATAAACAAGATGAAAAAAGATCTAGCAATAAATAAAATGGAAGTTAATCAACGCCTCCGCAAACGAATATCTGCTTCTGATCCGCGCCCCACTGCCATCGCCATGGGAACGATATTAGGTCCGTTCCTTATAATACTTTTTATTGGCGCCATCGTAATAAGCGATTTGATGACAATGGTACGTCACTTTAAGTCTTGTCCTGATAAAGGAAAGAAAAAGAAGAAAGTAAAGGAAAGAGAAAGAACAAAGCAAGGCGACAAATCCTTACCTCTGAAGAATCCCAGTACAGATAACAAAGTGCCATAATAAAAGTGTCATATACCACAGTGACTTTTATAACGGTAGACTAATTTAACCAACAAAACCAGCAAGCAGGTTTTCAATTTCCATTGAAGAGTTTCTTCTGAGTTATTCAAGGAGAATCAGAAATGCCTGAGAGAGGATACTTACGAATCAGTCGTCAAATATTTAAGGGGGGTGGTATCCTAGCTTAAATATTATACTTTTTTTTTTACTCATGAAATTAAAATCAAAAGATATTTTTGTTACTTTGTTATGTAATATGTTGGACAGACATTAAATAATATATTCTTAAAAATGTCCATATAGTATAGCCTGTTTTAACCATCTTTAAAAAGTGTTCGGTTGCCCTCTCCTGATGAACTGGATAAAATATGCCGCATATAATTTAAAAAGTATGTGGTGAAAATTTTAATGATCTCAAGTGCACTTTCATGCTAAATAAAAATTGTAGGTGCAGACTTTTTGTTTTACATAGTATTGTTTCAAAGGTTTTCATAAGTCTTTTTTTTTTGAAAATTTAGTCTCGGTCTTCTTTTCAAAATGTGACACGCCTAACACTTATTTACAAAAGTCAAATGTTGAAATAGTTTAGCATTTTTTATCATATTTTTAAAAAATCTATTTCACTTTATATGTCCTATATACAGACGGAAACTATCCTTGCACTTATATTTTCAGGAAAATAAAAGAAAATGAAATTTTACGTAATCATTTGCAGATATAAGATGAGTGTTTACTCCGTCATTTCATTTTTTTATCGTTAGACGATGGTGTATACTAAATAAATTTTCAGGAAGTTTGAAGGACATTTAAATTGTAAATGAAGAAAAGGTAAGAAACTGGATATGTTCTTGTTGATAATAAATCTATTAAAATGCTCCTAAATTTAGGTTCCAAATACAAAACAGGAATTATCAATACTTTACAGGAATACATGTATTTATACAGATATCCATTTATGACTACCGGGTACCTTATCGAATGTATACATAAAACTGGATATTTTTTATGTTGCTGATATTTTTGTTTACCTAAGTTTATAATCATTAGTGTTATGAGGATGTTTTACCTTAAAATAAAGTATATTTTTGTATTATGTGGCTACAGTCGCCAACTCAAAAAAAAAAAAAACTACTAATTTACTAGTATTTTTAGAATGTACATTTTATTTCTTTAGTAATAACAATTCAGCTGATTGGTGAAAATAAAGATAGGCCATCTTTTTTGGGAAAAAAAAAACCATGTTAGTTTGCCCTCTACCGATAAACTTACTAAAAATGCTCCCACTCAAAAACTTATTAATCTCCATATAAAAACAATTATTTTTTTTAATTCATATGCATTTTTTCACCCCATTATGGAACTATGCTTGCCCTCCTCTGACTTTAGATAAAAATATTGTATGGGTAGGTAGGGGGGTTTTTTTTTCTTCAAATTCCAAAACACTTGCAAATATATTTAGATAGTTAACAATGGGATGAAAAAACCCCACCTAAAAATGAATTAAAAAAATATTTATGGAGGTTAAAAAAGTTTTTAGTTGGGCCGTTTTAGTTCAGTAGGTCAAGAGAGGGCAAACTAGCAAGTTTTAAAGATGGCCTAACAATTTGTAGGAAACAAGTCAGCCAATATATTACCAAATAATTAATATATATGACCAAATATAAGATTATGTTTGTAAACAAGATCAATATAACGACAATAAAATTTAAGAAATGCTGACTTTATATGCGGTTGTTGAAATTCCTGTAACATCAACTTATCCGTGAGTAGCCTGTCCCAGTTTTTAAAAAGAATGATCAATTCAGAGCATTCTCTTGAGAAGCGAATAATTCATAACAGCATAAACAGGGAGAGTTGACGAATGAGATAGAGTTCTAGAGTCAATTCGTGTATAGTCAGTAAAAACCCAAATATTCACCAGATGTGGCAGACCCTGTGGTGTCTTTAGTTTCAAGTTCACATGGAATATCTAATCAAAATACATGTAATGTAATTGTAAACTATATTAAATGTTAGATTGTGGTAAAGTATCCGGATCTTAGGTGTATTGTTGTTTACTAATCTTTGAATTATTAGAAATTCAGATAATAAGTACACGACGATTTTAAATTGTCGTGTGCATCTTATTTGAATTCCTTACAATGCAATAATTAGTAAACAGCACTATTGAAAATTTGAATAACCCAAGAAAGTACTTTTTACAAAAAGATACAATGAAAAGTTTACGGGCAAGGAAAGAAATATAAAAATGGAACCCAAACTTTTAAACTTGTCTATTTCAGTGCATGGTAACACAGGGGTAGGCACTTTCACTTTTATAATCTAATAAAAAGACTTATGTACAGTAAAAATATGTTCCAGTATTTAAACTGCAGCATATAAAGCACACTTCCTATAAGATTTTTGTTAAACACTTCAGTTATGCAAACTTATTAAAATTCTGGGTAGCAGTTTGCATGTAGACTTAAAATTCTCTATATCAAACAATCTTCTTTTTTTTCATTACAATTGTGTTAAGCATGCTAAATAGATAACCAACATAATATCCGGACAGTTGTGATACATGTAAGTATAATTAACAGCTTTATTTACAAGCTAATAAATAGTTAATTGATAACATAAATAAAAAAATATGAGCTTTTAATATAAATTATTCGGCATTTCAAACAAAGAGCACGAATTTTTCAATCATCAGTTCATTAGGTACATCTTCTGTTGTTTGATAGTAAAGATTTTTCTTTTCAATGACCAAGATTAATAAAGAGACATTAATGTTCAGGAAATGGAAAAGTGCGGATCTAATGGTGTGGGGAATCCTGGGTATAATAGTGAAGATGAGAATAAAGATTCTGAAGTGTACGAAGATAAAAAGGTATACAGCATTATGAAAATCTGTTTAATAGATTAAATAATACACTTCAATAAAGAAATAAATAATGGCGCTAAAAAGGGAAACGGATAGAATTAAACAAGGCATCCGAGAAAGTATTTAAATCGGGTTCATGAGAAGAATACACTTGCTTAACTCGACATTTCGATATACTGAGGACGTCTAAATTATTAAATAACAATAGTTGCTTCCATTTATTTGTCGACTAAATATATTACAGTGAGCTTGAAATAAGAGATACCATGGATTCTGATACCTCTGTTTTATATTTGAATACTTTACAAGAAAAGATGTTTATGGTAACCAAAGAAGAAGGCTTTATGAAAAAGGTGATGACAACTTTTTAATCATCAACTTCTTTTTTAACTTATGTTCCAATATGCCCCTATCGCCTGCTTATTGGATTTATTCTCTCAATTGAATCAATACGTAAAAGCAAGCTCTAGGTATGAACAATTTCTAAAAAAGAAAAAAATATTGACAAACAACTTGTTCAAACAAGCATTTGAAGTCATCATTTTGCAGGTTCTATAGCTGATACAATGACCTTATCAGCAAATACAACCTAAATCCTGACTGACCTATTTTATACTAAGTGTCAGGCTATAATTAACACACAGTATTGTCCACGGAATTTTCCGTTTTCCCAGTCATGGAAAGGGATGCTTACACACCCATTGCACCTGATCCTATCTCTGATGTTTTTGTAGGGTTATGTTTGCTTTACTTCCTATTTGTGTTGTTCAAATCATTATGGACTTCGAGCTTCAATATTGTTATCTCCATATTTCAGCCAACTATAAAAAGGGTAAAGGAAAAAGATTTTTTAAATCTGTACAAATAAATTTTATTTTCTCAATATGAACAAAAAATATAATTTTTGATAAACTTTTTAAAAATTTTCAGACAAGAAAATTTACATTCTTTGTTTTCTGGATAAAATCTTCTAATCAAAGTGAAGTGTTAAGATTCTCTTTCTAGTAATTACAATATAAAAATAAATGAAAAAAAAACTTCAGGTTATTTCAGCAGGTATAATACATGTATATTACTTTAACATGTGTTAAACAATTTTTTTTTCTCTAAAAGTAAAGAATAAACCCAGATCCAAACCATCGCAAAAGTGTACTAGTAAACTAAGCAGGATACGAGCTAAAATATTACAGGTATCGTCAACAGAAAATGATGAAAAATGATACGGTATTTTTACAAACAATTTCACTGAATGACGAGATTCCGAAACAAGACAAACCAATCTTGCATTATTATTTTTACCCGTTGTCATGGCATTAACCTAAATTGAATCTAATTTAAAACCTAGTGATTGTCTAAATCCTTCAACTTCAACTTTCAAACCATTATTTCAAGATTGACGATTCTTTATGGAATCTAAATTCATTTATTCAAAAATTCAAGACAGGAATTGGTTGGTCCATACTTTTTTAATACATAGAATTAAAGCGAAATTGCATACTGCATGCATATGACATTTCCTCTCTGATAAGATAAAAGAAAAATGTCTACCGCTTTGGTGAGTAAGGATATGTCATCATATGTGTGTATGAGTCTTTATATTCAATGTTCCTGATCCTCATTTCATAAAACTGAAATCAAAAGTATCAATTATATTTCCTCTTGGTAAAATAAAAGAGTACCTTCTTTTTCATAAAATATACAAAGTCTTTGAAAATAGATGTTTCATAAATCATGCATAAAACATCTTAGTGGTAAACTCTGCAAACGTATATTGCAAACTGTATGGATACATATTTCCTCAATACTGTTTCCGCTGTCTTTAAAATTATTTTTGTCATCGAGTAATAAAACCAATTGATGCTCCATGATCATTCGTTTTATTTTATGGATCTATCACATTATGATTGTCTATAAAATGTATAATTTTATTTGCAACAATTTACAATGAAATATGACAATAACAAACAGTAATCAACTTCAAAAAAGCAGTTTGGACAATGTAAATTAGAAGCTGAGTAAGAACTGACCTTTAATAAATCAGAGCTGGGAACAGGTGCCATGACATCCCCAGACGACCTTTCACACCCCCCCCCCCTCCCCGAGTGCTCTTTATCATGACTAGACAAAATTCACTTCAGTGTGAAAATATGAAAAACGTCAGTCAACGATATAATCTATTTGCTAAAGAGGTGATTGTTTCAACCATAGGATTGCGATGTGTTGATATTAAAAGGGGTTGTTGATATCCATGTTTCATCAACTTATTTGTCAATAGTTTCCCTCGAATCAGCTAGGGATTAATTTCCATATGCA